AGGATCTGCAGGACCGCCAAGCTTCGGTGGACAAATGGGCTGGCCCCAACAAGGTGGATCTGCAGGGCCACCAAACTTTGGTGGAGACCAAGGACAAATGGGTTGGCCGTCGAAGCAGTGGGGTCAAGGTGAAACTTTAGGCGTGGATTGCAGTGGATCGGGTGATCAAGGAGGGTGGGGCGGTGGTCAAGGCTTTACACCACCTGGTGGCGATCAAGAATGGGGCACACTGGGCGTTGATTGCAGCGGTTCAAATGAAGGAGGATGGTCTCACCAAAGTTGGAAGCCTCCCATCGGTGGCCAAGGATGGTGGGGCGGAGGCCAAGGGTGGACACCTCCAGGTGGCCAAGGCGGGGAAACGCTCGGTGTGGATTGCAGTGGCTCAACGGGAGGTGGGTGGGCCCCGCCGGGAGGTGACCAAGGTTGGGGGAAGGGAGGGTGGACGCCACCAAGTGGTGGAGAAGGACCCGGGTCCCCGGGTGTTGAAAATAGCGGCTCCGGTGCGGGTGGGCCACCTCCAGAGACTAGTTTCAGCCTCCCCGGATCAAGCGGTGGGGGTGGAATGCCAGGTCCAGCGGGAGGCTCATCGCTTCCTGGGGCATCCATGATGTCGAGTAACACTGGTGATCAGGGTGATTCGACGACAGAGGTTTCTAGTGGTAACGGGGGAGGAGATACAACGACAGCTGAGACTTCTGGAGTGTCCAGCAGCGCGGAAGATCAGGTCGCACAGACCTCCATGACGGATACTACGTCAAGCGCCGAAGCGCCAACGGAGTCAAGCACCGGCGCAGACGTAGATCGGAAAAGATCGTTGAGATCCTGAACAATAAGTATGGATCGCTGTGTAAAGAGTTACCATACGTGGTGAACAAAGTATGTTGAGTAGCGTTGGAAAGCTTGGGCATTTATGACCTAAGTCGATGTTAGTAGATAAAACAGTTCATGTAAAACGCAATTTTAGTTGTTTGCATCTCGTCCGAAGAAAGATTCTCAATTGAGAAAGATTGTCAGTCGAGAACCTTGGATATTGTCGATAAGTTACAATTTCCGCTCAGTTGAGGGGGTCTCTGCTGATTTAACGTGGAAATGGCACGTACAGTAGTATATAAAGCTCTACTACCATAAATAATCAATCAAGTTCCATCATTCCTATGTATAACAATGTCGAGCTTCGGCTTTGTAGACTCTTTCTGCTGCTTCCGCATCCACCTTTTGTGGAACTCCTCGAAAATATCGTAATTCTTCTGGCCTTTGGCAGAAGCAAACGTATCCGTATCCATACTCTTGACAAGCTTGAGTTTCGAGAAGACTTGAGGAGGAGTGTCCGTTTGCAGCCAGGCATGAAGTCTTGCCTCCCAGATATTCTTGATAACTTGTTGGGGGAGATGCGACATCGGCTCGTCCAGATACTTGACAAAGTAGTCATAGAAATACTTGGTATAGTGTCTGTACAGCGTGTCTTTTGTACTCGTCGGTTGCAAAAGTATCAGCACCTGATCGGGCTTGAGTCCGACAGCTAACGACACCTGCAGTTTCAGCTTGAGCTGCGCTTTAAATGCTGCGTCTCGGCCTAGGTTGAGGACCTCAGCCCCTCTCTTCGTCACTCTTTGTGCCGTCACTTTTTGCTTTCCTTGCTTTGTGCACCCTCAAACTTCTTTTAGGTTCTTCGTCCAGGACAAGCCTAGGAGTCCATTGCGTTGCGCCGGATGTCGCCTGCTTGGTCTGCTTCAGGCGTTCGGAGCTGGCACCGACGGCCTCACAGCGTGAAGAACAGACAGCCGCGAGCACGACAAATGCCAAGACGTGGCGTCCACGCATCTCGACTTGGCTAGATGCAGAGTGCTGTTAAAAGTCTTGGGGCGACTTGTACGCTGCGCATATGTGCACACGTTTTTTTTTTCTGTTTAAGAGAGGAGTATCGACGATTGGCGACGCAGGATCACGGACTAATGATGCGCAGTCTATCTCAAGAAACCCCATTTGTTGTAGTTTTGGATAGTTCGGAAATTAATAACAACTGTTGGCGTGCTACATGTACCATGTATCAATTGGTGTAGACTTTGCTTTTGCGGTGACACGTATCATTTCGCTGCCGTCGAGCAAACAAGGTTATAGCGGCGATAATTCATAATGGAGAAAAGGAGAGAATTCGCAGTATGTTCGAAGTAACGGTCAAGTAACGACGTTACTTTACCGTTATTTCTACCATCTGAAAAGGCAAATGCAGAATACCACGTACTAAGTACGTGTAAGTTAGCAACTGTTACATCGCTTAATAAGAAGACTCAAAAGTAATAGGGAAGTCTGGGAGAACACTCAAGTATCGGTGGAACGAATTAAGGACGAATAATTTTCTTGTCACTTCATGGCTTTGGCTGTTCATTGACTTGGATAAAGTATGGCCGATGTAGGACACGACTCATAATTATCAAGAAACAAATGGCCCTGCAAATTCGAAAACACACTAGAAAACAGTTTTATTGTTTTCCACCCAGCAAACTTTAAGGATCAAGTAGTTTATGCAGGAAATTGGTTGATGTTTGATTAAACCGACGAATATTTTAGTATCATTATAAATTGTAGATCACTGCACCACAGTTGTGTGTTTTGGTTATACGTCACACATGTATTGAATTCGTAGTACTGTATGTTAAAAAAAATCAAGACAGTTTTCTGGATGCACCAGGATTACTTTTGTTTACTCTGAAGAATTCTGGCGCAGTGGAACGCTGTCTATCTGTTGCACGGACGCAAACATGGATACGGTATGCTTAATCGGAATCTTACGTGCTCGTTGCCTATGCGAGCAGGAACTACATGTATTATAGGAGACGACATTCAAAATTTGTAGCGCGATCGGACATGGTCAAGGATGCGACGCAGCATCCAGCCGTCGCTCGGTGTGATTGTGGTTGAGCTGTACGCCATCATGATGGAGTTAGGGAAGTCCTTGGACGGCTTGGTCTCCAGACCATAAAAATCTGGCAAACCGAAGCCGTGACCGATTTCGTGGCCGATAAACATAATGTTCTCATCGTAAAGATTGCTCAGCGTGTCGTTAAGACTCACCTCCTGGCCCCAATCGTAGCCGAAGCCGTAAGGGATCTTGTCATTCAGCCAGAACGAGACATCGAATGGCTCACCTTGGCACGCGCTCGTGTCCGACCATATATTGTTCACATTGTCGTAGTATCGGTAACACTCGTCAGGACACTGCGGCACACCGTCCGAGTCGACACTTCCCTCGTAAACCGGACCAAGCGTGTCATCCGTCCATTCGAACTGTGACTTGTCCTTAGCGGCCCAACCCACCATATTCACCTTGATCT